AAAGCGGGTGGCCGCGCTGCGGCCGCCTCCCTCCCGGGAGCAGCGCCCGGCCGCGCACTCCCTGCTCGGGGCCCAGCCGCTGTGTGCGATGGCGGCAGGGCCTGCGCGCGCCGGGCCGCGCCGCTGCTCCCCGAGCTGCTCCCCRAGCGCGGCACGGCCTTTAAATCACGTTGGCAGCCCCTGCCCCTCGCCATGCGGCCCCTGCGAGCGCTGCGGTCCTATTCATGCTTTTTTTTAAAAAATTGTGTTGAATAGAAAGTTAAATAATGCTGCAGTTGAGCAGAGCTCAGTAATGCGACCCAGCTGTTTCTTTTTTCKTTCAGCGATGTGTAGAGTAAGGCAGGGTTAATACCTGTGTGGTTTATTTTTGTGTGTGTGCTAGTAAGTGTAGTGTGTGGTTTTCATGCTATGCTTATGTTGAACTAATATATATGTAAGTTGAAATGCTCTATATGAAGTYCTAGCTTGAGGGAGGGGTGGAAATCCTTAACAGATTGAAGCAAGGAAATGAATAGTTAGGGAATGTCAATAAATATTCAGATATCCTCACAGTTTCTTAAATAAATGCACATTTGTAAAATATCACATTGCATTTCCAAACACAACTTTAGCTCTGCTCCATATTCATTCCTAGTTTTATTCTGTAGACCAGAAAACCCCTACAGTCAGTTACTCTGCATCAAATAAATTCTGAATATGAGTTACAACCATCATACAATATGGTTATGTTGGAATATTTTTACTATTTAATAACAGACAAAGTGGATATTTTATTTTGGAATCAAAGTGCTGTTATGTGGATTTATGGTTTATAAGGTTGGCAGTGTTTCTGAGTGCTTTCTTTTCCAAAATACATAAATATAATGTGGTAAAAGTTTTGTTTTTAGCTTATAAATGTAGTTAATCATCTGTTCAAACAATAAAAAAAAATCTATTTATTAATGGCCAAGAAATGTTAAGGGTTTGAGTTTTTTCTTTTTTTTTTTTTTTTTTTTTATAAGAGACTCATTTAAGTCACTGCATGAAATGAATAGACAGTGAATATCTCAATTCACTGTCTGTTCAGTTTGGGGGGGGATCACAGCACATCAGTTGATCATGTGGAACTTCAGTCATTAATCTATTAAAATTGTTACTGAGTCTCTGAGTCTCATGTAAAGGTCACAGTCTGTTTTAAGGATTTTGTTGATGAGTAGAAGAACTACTCATAYTTGATCCATCCGGTGCGTGCACGGATATGCACTCACTGACTAGTACACTGAGGTATGTTCCCTCCTTGGAATTACAGAGCGGAGCAGTGGGTGGGCAATGATATGCAAGCGCTCTTGGGGGCTACACCGGGATTCATATTGATCATTCTGTACTTACATCCTGTTTTTTATCACAGTTACAATATATCCAAACATGTGAGGCAATTAGACAAGTGAAGACCTGGTTCTGCTTGGATTATTTGACTTCCTGCAACTAATAATGAGATTTTTGGAAGATTTAATGCTATGCCATTGAATATAAAAGAGGGTTGGAGGCCTGTATGTGCAATGGGGTTAGGTGTGGTAATTTGTCCTGGCATCTTTATTGAAGCCTCCCTATAGGCACTATCAGCTGTAATCAGCACTTCTGCCAGAAACAACATTGCAGTGTCTGAAATCTGGGTGTTTTCAGCGTATAGCTGGGAGACTTGAAGTATTCACTTATTGTTTAACTTTAAGAAAGATCCCAGAGATTCTTTTTCTTTTCTAGGTTTTTCTTTGATTCTGGCCTTTAAATTCTAGTTTATGTTCTGCATAAGCACTTCTGGGTTCCACCTTTTTTCCACTTGGGAAAAAAGGTGAARTTTTCTATGATGCACAGAAAATGTCTCCTTAATGCACAGTAATGACCTAAAAATGAAACAAATTTTTGGCAAGAATCAGAAGAAGRGAAAGAATCCTTAAGATATAAATATATCATTGTATAAGTCAATGTTTTGCCTACACTTTGAACAAGGTGTTCTCTCTTGCTAAAATTCCTATTCCCGCTCTCTTTTTCGTGATAATAAGGACTAAAATTGATCGGCAAAATTTAAATAATTATTCGTAGGCTATGACAGTCAGGTCTTTACTACCATAACGATTCCTAACTTAAGAATAGATTTAGATTCTCAGAAAGATACTGGATACACAGTGATTTTGAAATTCCTGGAAGAGTCTGCTCCTCATGTTATTTACTACCTCTTTCCAGTAGCACTGTGGCTGTGGGAATAAAGCAAGTTAAATTCAGCACATACTTAACCTTTGTGTCACTGATCCCTCCTTCACCRAGAGACAGGCCCCAGTGTTGGATACTGACCCGGAGATCAGTGTTACCAAGAAGGAACAACACTATAAATCTAAAAATTAGCACCTGCTTTGATAAATAGGCAAAAGAGCTTGCAAGCTTCAGTACACGCTTCACTATATACAGTGTAATCTATAATTATAGTACACTGTGTAGAGATAAGTATGTAGAGTTGGGAACAATTGTTCTATTCCATTTTTTATCTTACAACATATAATGTGCATTCCCTTATAGAATACACTTCCAGGTATTGCCACAGACAGATTTACAGAGACCAATTCTTATAGATAGATTAAAAAAGACAGAAAGCAATAGATTTATTAACTAGTAGTAATAATTGGATTCTGACAAGTTTGTAAATGCATTTTTATTTGTACTATYTACTTCTTGTGTTTCTCCTCTTTGGGACAATTTGCCAGTCAATTTYGGTTTGGTTTTTAGACTACCTTTGCATGCAAATTTCTATACACATTGCTGTGCATGTTATATGGATTACAAATACTATCTATAGATTTTTGTCTTTCCTTCAGAGTGTGAAAATCAGCACAAAAGCCTTAGTTTTAGGAAAAGGCTTTTTCAGTCTAAAGGAATATTATGGTGTCAYTTTCAGTCTCTTCTGTGAAAACTAAATTTCTTTCTCTTGCTTTCTTTTATGTTCAAAAACTTAAGTAATTTATTACTGCAAAGGAATGTGTGCTGAATCCAGTAAGCAACAGAGGATGTGGAAAGATTTATTGGGAGAAACATTAACAGCATTCCTGGCCAGGTGTATTTTTTTTTCTTTTTTTGTGAAATGGGGAAAAAAATACACACCTCCAGCCAACTTCAGATATGGCTGGGAGCCCATTTGGAAAACGCAGTGTCTGTAATTGTGAAGTGCTTCTAAAGACAAACTAAGCAAAAGTGGTGAGTGGAGCAGAGCACTTGGCACTGCTCAGTGTCAGGAAACGTGTTGCTAGGTCTTGAAAACCATTTCAGTGTTTGCTGTATGTAGGGTATATGCACATGATTTCCACTCTCCTTGTACCTTATACAACTATTTATACCAATGGGGAATGAGGCAGTGAAATCCCTACCAAATTTGTGGTGCATTCTGACTTTGCACTGTGAGCCCATGATAAATGGTGTTGGACAAGTGGAGCCTACGAGAATAGTTCTGCCCTCCTTGCCTGACTGAACTCTCCTTTCTTGCTTAGCCAGAGCACCAAGTGCGGGGTCTGTCCCTCAATAAGTGGTAAACACAGCTCTGATGAATATTTTTGCTCTAAGATGTTTCTTAGGCCACAAATAAATAATTTTACTGCATATTACAATATATAAAATGAATTTATGAGGTATGCAATCTGAGGGGGGGCGGAGAGAGTTACAAGTTGTAACGGTTTACTTAGTAATTTTCCAAATAAAATTCTACTCTGATGCATATATCCATTTTCCAGAAATGATAAAAGGATCGGGTGTAAACTGGCTATTTCCAGTTCTACCTCCTTCTGTCTCAGGAAACTTTCCTATCATCTAGATAAAGCRCAAAGATAATAAGAGCATTTGTAACACATGAGGTTATACTGTTCTGAGTGTTTCAGAAAGACCCTGTAGAGATACCTTTCCCTTATCACTTTTTCCTTCAATTTCAGCTATTAAGTGTCCAGCTTTCCTCCATGCTAGTTGTATAGGTCCCCTCAGTAGTAGTCTCATTCCTTAAACAGCAATGTTTGACATTACCTTTTTATTAACATAGTTTTCTTTCTTCATTAATRCACATTTCTTAAATGTGTGAGGTACAAGTAGTTCCTTGAGTGAGCATCTTGAGTGGGTAAGGACAGCAGTCTTGGTTCGCTCTTTGTAGCACATCATATGTATTTGAAGCTCTTCTAGGTCTGCTACATCCTCTTCAGAGTGTTGTAGACCTTTCTTTTTCTGTGTTGCTTCACAGAAATTTCCTCCTATTTCTGTCTGTGCCAGGCTAAACCTATTGATATATTCCCAGTGCACAAATTAAAATGCTATTGACTGCACTAGTTCAACATTTTATCTCCAATACAATTAATAAAACCTGGAAATCAGACAAAGCTCGACTTCAGATCTGATGTGATRTGCTAAGTTAGAAGCGAGTAGTCAAAGTCCCATTTCTGTCATGCTTTGTTCTGCTTTGGTCTCTATACTTGTCTATCAAAATCACATTATACTTTCTGTTGTTTCTTTCAATCCAAAGGATTGAACAATCCAAACTACCAAAGTGCCAGTTTTTAAATACTATTCAGTTTGTAAGTTAAAGTAGTTGTAGAATGCAGATGGGATTTTGTAGATAATTAGAGTTCCTTAATTAAATCCAACATTTTTTTCCAGTATTTACCCAGAATTTGGACTAGGTTTTAGAGTTTGAAGAACAGTTAAGAAATGAAATGATGGAATTAAGCTTCTGTTTTGGCTGTCTCTGGATAGATTATATTAATTTCAGAAATTAAAATATWTTCTATTTCTTTGAATTTTCCAATGTTTGCATTTTAAATCATTATGGAGAACAGAACATTGATGCTACTGTAAAAATGTTTCCTTAAAACAATCAAGCATTGGAAGGATTTTTTTTCTTGTTGAGAATGGATCTTAAATATTTATATTTTCCATCTTTGCTAATGTATTGTCTCTTTCCCTCCCCCTCTTTTTTTTTTTTTTTTTTTTTTTTCCAGGACCATTTGCCACCTCAGGAAGTGGTAAATTCTGCTGCTGCTCTCATCATGGCATTAATAAAGGATAGAAACCCTGAGTTGACTGGTCAACTGTTGGTAGCCTAAGATCATAAATCATTTGTAGCTTTTGGAAATGTTTCTTTTCATCATGCATTCACCAAAGGTCTTGAAACATATTTTACCCCTTGATGAAAACCCTGAATTTATGACATTTACTATTAAGATCTTTTAACAACATATTTTTGATACTTAAATGCAAGTCTGATGTTATGTATGTAAGTGTAAAATGAAGTATAAACCATCCTGAGATACACTGGGTACATACTTGGAGAAATAATACTGAAACATTTGTTAGATACTCATCATACACGAAAGTGCACAGAGACACCAAAGCACTCGGTCTCTGTGCAGAATTGACTTAGACACCACTGCATGTGTTTTCTGCTCTAGGACTGTATTAGGAGGTTTTCTGTAAGTCAAAATGATACTAAAGCACAACTCCTGATCCTTACAGAAAAGTATTTTTAAATTGCTGCTACACCTCTTAGTGACTGCAGTGTTGAGTGTACAGAACAGCCTTTCTGACATCAGTGTCAACATGCATTGCCAGGAGGGACTGTAGACCCAGGTCCCTTCATAAAAGAGAGGCTAAACTTGCAGCAAAGAAGAGATGTGTGTAGGGATATTGAAATGCTACAGCCCAATTCTGTGGTTCAGGGGTGTTCCGAGTGGGGTCTCCTTACTGCTACACCTCTGGTATCCGGGTACCACCGGTCAGATTTCACCACTCAAGTGTTATGTGTATCCTTGCTGCATGTGTGTGTATGCGTGTATGTGCATGTGCTTGATGAGAAAAGACCCCAAAACACCTTCCCAACATGGCCTGTGGGCCACGGAGAAGTAAGAAGGTTGTAGAGTGCTTTTCTTATACAGGATTGCTGTTTTCGTCTCTTGCCTGGTTAGAATGTATGGAAGAAAACTGAGTGTTGCAAATTCAAATATGCACTACATTGATATTTAGGTGCTGAAAGCTGAGACAAGAAGGGTTAAAGAAGTGAGTGGTTGTTATGTTTAGTATTTCCAGGTATTAAAACTGCTAAAAGCAATGCAAGATTTCTGAAGGCAGGGCAGTCCCTGAAAGCATCTGTCTTTCCCTGTGCATCAGATTCTTGGCAAATTATTGCACTCCTGCCGCTTGTGAAGGAGCTGGGTTAATGCCTTAAGAACCTGCAGTGGTGGGAACAGGGGCTTAATAAAATATTCCCACCATGTGTGTCCCATTCTGTCTATAAAGATATAGTAAGCTGTCAGTTTAAGAAGTTTCTCTCTGAAACTAGTTGTACGATAACTGCCTTGTTCCCTTGAGTACAATTTCTTATATTTAGTAGTTATACACAAGGGCATCACACTAGAGCATTCACCACATGCTCATGGGTCTTAGGTGTGGAATATAATTTTAGCCAGAGTGGGGAAAAAAAAGAAAAGGAAAATTGGCAGAGCAAGTAAAGCAGAGAATGTCTGTGTTAATGGCTTCAGGATGGATCCTTCTCCATMCTGGTAAACATTCAAAATTCAAATACCCATCACAAGCCTCTAGGTTGTACGAACAAAGTTTTCTCTSTCCGTGATGTAGCAGTGGCTGTGGGAAGTTCTTTCCTGCAGCTTTTCTAGAGGACAGAGTGAGAAAAGCCCCAGGTTTTGTGGTTCAGCAGCCCAGGGGCTTTTTGGGAATGCGAATTGAAAGAGTTCCCCACCTCCCAGCCCTACTCCCAGCGTGTTCCTCTCCCTCTGATGCTCAGAAAGAACTTAGTGAGGAGTAGGGTTGGTTTCTCCCTTTTGCTCCTCTTCTTTTTTTTTTTTTTTTTTTTTGACTCTTTTGCTTTTCCCTCCTCATCTGTTTTCCCCCATCTCTTTCCTTTTCTCTCCACATCTGCTCGATTTCTCTCTCTCATTCTCTCTCCCCTCCCCCTCTCCTTTTTAGGATTATTTTAAGCCCAAATCAGTATCCTGCAGTTCCTCTATCAACACAGAAGGCAGCACTGACAGTAGCAGTAAAATGGATGGAATAAGTGCTCCTTAAGTGCCCAAGAATGGCTTATTAATTTCTGCTGAGGCACTATCTATATCTGCTTTAAATCTCATTGAGAAGCTGATGTTGATCCCAAACTTCCTTCATTACAAGATACAATAAAGAGATRTTAGCTCTCTGTTCTGTATCCAGAGCACACATTTTATTCCATGCAGAAATGATGCTTATACAACTAACAAATTTCTCATGCCTCATCTGTTTCCTTCTTTGCTTCTCTCTCCTCTTTATTTTCATTAATAGTTTGTCCTTTTCCGACATTGTACRACATAAGCATTTGTATTAGCTCTGTGTAGGGCTATACACTAAGCATATTTTATTGGTATTTATTCATACATGTTCATGTACAAAGTCAAATAAATGAAGAGCGCAAGAATTTATTGTTGACATTCATATTTTAACAAGACACCTCTCACAAATAAATTTCCTGAATTCACTTTTTAATAAATTGAGTTTAATGAAGTTTTTTCCCTAAGCTTCTGAAGACGGGATGARTATTTCTTTAATTACAGAATTCTGTGATTCTTCTACAATTTAAGACTAAAATACTGTCCATGAGGTGTTTTCCCCACATAATAATGAMGTTAAATTAGAAAATCTATTATGTTTTCCATCTACTCTAGTATATACACTGTGCTATAACCTTAGCATTAGATTGTGCACAGGTTTTTATTTGCTTAGTAAACAATATTATGTTGTTTTACTTAATTTTAATACAATTGAAGATGTTCATGCTGTGAACTGCTCTATCAAAACATATTTACTAGTAATCCAGACTTAAATGGAAGATAACAAGCTTATTTAATGTACTGTTACCGTATTATGGACTCTTTTGTTTTTAATAATATTTTTAAATGTCCTGTACGCACCCAAAAATCTATTATGCAGGAGCATAACATCAGAACTACTAATAACCCATCATGAAATAGTAAAAATGAAGTTAAAAAAAAAGAGACTGTGATTAATACTATTGTGTATCCAACCCAAATTCAAGTGTCTTTTGGATGAATGTTAATAGTAACAATGGGAATAAAGATATAAAATGAAATTAAGAAAGTGGTTGATTTTTTTTTTTTTTTGTCTGTGCATAGCTTCTCACAAATAGCTATCTACATGAGAAACTTGGCAGCCCTTTGCACACACATGCTGTTTTGAATTTAGCTAGTGAATCAGTCACCACCCATACTGCTTTGAACATTTGGACAGAGATAACACAGAGTAAATAAAAGCTCAGAGCCTGCCAGCCTTGCTTACCTTACTCCTCAAGCACTCTAATTACTTTCCTTGGGTAAAGTCTTCATCAGAACAAAACAAATACAGATTCCTGCCACAGCACTGCTTCTGGAAACTGCAAAGCTGAGTGTAGTAGATTTGTGTATTCAATCAAACCTGCTTCATGCAGTATCTGAAAATGAAGTTGCTTCATTTCGGTTAGGTCAGTTGGCAGAGCAATTTTCAGCTGTATTCTCTTTTACTTAGCTTCCTAGACTACGTATTAAAAAAAAAAAAAAAAAAAAAAAAAAAAAAAAAAAAAGTGTCTTGATGGCTTTCTTAAAAACGATGCAAGAATGAAAACAGAAGACAATTTAAAAAAATCCCAAAAACTAAAACAGAGAGATATGAAGTGAAACATAACCTTGTAATCAGTAGCATAATTCTCCTTGACCTTAAAGTATCGCAGTGGAGCTTTCAGCTCATCTTGCTCTCTAACATGGGCTGCAAGTTAAACGTGTGTCTGGACACCTTAAAGTTTCTGACACATTCAGCTTTGTATATCTGTGTGACACCAGTTGCGTCCTTTGCACAAGGCTATGTGAGGTGCCATGCGAACAGCAGCTTCCAAGGCCACTTAACATTCCCAGTCGCTGGCTAGCACTTCCCAGTGTTATGCCACTTYTCCCTGGCTGTAGGTCACTGAAAGCTAGGAAGTACATCACCAAGATCACCAAGAATCTTTTTTGTTGTTGCTCTTTTGGACATCTAATACTGGTCACTGTTCTTTGTCCCTCTTTTTTAAAAATGTATTTTATTTCCAGATATTCAAAAGAATTTATGAGATATAATTTCTCCCTTCCTCTGTATCTTCTTTTTCATCCTTACCTTTGGTGTGCAAAATGTTACTCCATTTTAGCAAGATTCCACCAAGTTGTCCAGAAAATGCATGTTCATAGAGTTGCAGACAGAGATTAGGTAGCCCTTGTCCTCCGTTTTCATTTCATTTTTGCCATCCCTACTTTCTCTGTTAAGGAAGTCCTGCTAAGGGAGGTTTGGGGGTCCAGAAGTAGGACTAGCTCTTGCAGGAGCTAGAATTTGAGGCTGGAGCTCCTTTGATCTGTCCCAGTACGACTCTTCTTGCAGTTGGGCCTGTTATGTGACACAGAAGGATCATGTTATGGGAAGAACTTGGCTTGGCTTGGTCTTTTTATGATTGCTATCTCTGCTCTATAGGATAGATGCTCTAATCTTAATCCCATTTGAATGAAAAAGAAGTATTTGGGCTATTGGATTGATGAATTCAGATGCAGTGTACTGGATGGTAGATTTTGATCTTTGTGTAGGTAGTGAAAGAATGTTATTCAAAGGAATTTCCTCCTGTTTGTTTCAAAAGTCACTTATTAAAACCACAACTAATTCTCCCTGAAACTTGGAGAGATGCTCAGACTTGTAAGAAGAAGAATATCTTTTAAGAGCTCCCATTGGGAAAAATCTGTTATGAAGTGTTAACATATTAATATTTGTTGTGATATAAAATGTTCAACTATAAATACATTATTTAAAGCCAGTCTCAAAGAGATGAAGTCTGAGAAACTAAGAAAAAAATGACCCTGTGCTCATTATTCCTGTCCAACTCATTTGATCAGTCCAATCTTTTGCACCTGGTTTCAAATAATTTGTAATTGCAGCCAGTTAGATGACTAATGCTCTGCTCTGGGTGCCTGCAGTAAGATACCTATGCAAAGTATCAAAACAAGTTCAACTCCCTGTGCCCACAGTGCCTCCTCTTTCAACTTTAGACTTGTAAGCTTTTATTCCGTCTGCCTCCCTCRGCCCGCTCCTCAGCCAAGTTGTTTATCTCAATTAAGGTTGTCTCATGTTTCCAACAGACACCAAGGGAAAGAAGCAGTCACTGACACGGCATCTTCTAGGGTAAGTTGACTTTGATTGACAGGGCTTTAAAGAGCTTGTCTAATATTCATTTTACTTGGTTCTTTCTTACAGGAATACTCAATTAGATTTGAGATTTGAGAATTATAATTTCAGCGTCTGTGCTGAGGAAAAAAAGTCCCAACCATGCAAGTACTTTTAGGCTGGAATATACTTGCCTTGTGAAACCCAACCTGCAGAGGAACTTGTGTTTCTTATCCACAGATAAATTTAACTATTTTCAGTTTTTCAGTTGTACCAGATCTTCTCCGTCATCCTGTACATATTTCTGTCTCAAAAACTGAAATTATAACACAGCTAAAAATCCAGAGTTACAAAGATAAATGAGTGAATAAGGGACTTGTACATGCAGGAAATGATGTGCTTTTAAATCAGACAGAGAAGGAGGGAGGTAAGAGAAAGCCCACTAAAGCTCCTGTGGACAGGCAAGCCCGGAGACCTTTGGAGGGCAGCGCACGCGGGGCTGTGGGTAGTGGTGCCTCCCAGGCTCAGCAGAGCCCGGGACTGCAGCCCTGGAAGGCGCTTTYTGATTCAGCAGTCTTTTAAGATAACCACCTCGCCTGCATAATTATTTTTTGCCACTTCTGAATATCTTTCATTTCTCTGCCTCCTCTTTTCTGTGTCTCAGACCTGCCCTCTCATTTCCAAACTCATGTTCCCCTTCCCTCTTTCTGTTCTCTGCTCGCATCCTCCCCCATCCCCTTCTGTCTCCCGTCCCATTCTCTGTCTCTGCTCCTCGCTCTTTCTCTCCCTATTTGTCACTCTCTTCCCATTCCTCCCAGCCCACCATGGTCGAGGGAGGCAGCCCCCCTCGCTGCTCCTGAAAGCCGGGCCGTGGTCTGGCATGAGAAACCCTTCCTTGCTCCTGGACCGAGAACTGAGGCGGTTGGGCTCTGGCACCTCGGCGCTCCTCGCAGCTGGGACCCGGAGCAGATGTCGCTTCCATTGCCAGCTGAAGGCAGCCGAGCGGCAGCCGCCCGGAGGGACGGACCTCCTGCACGGCAGCTGCGGGGACTCGCGCGCCACGATCCTCTGAGCTGGAGCAGAGCCGCGTCAGGGCGCTCCCCCGACAGGCTTCTCCAAACCAGCTTCTCCGAGGCCAGGCCAACCCCGAGCAGCCGCGCTAGGGTCTCGAAAGCCAGCACCTAGCCGGAGAGCCAGATCTGCAGATCTGTCAGAGCCTGGAAAAGGGAAATAAAACAAAAAGGAAGA